GCCCGGGTGCCGGCGAACCTCCGACATTTGCGCTTATAGCCTGACACTTCGGTGAGATTTCACCGTAATTACTGCTGGTGGTGTCGCTCTGCCTCTTCGGCAGCGCTGTAACCAAGGATCCGTGACTGGGGAAAGCTGTTCAACCAGTGTCTGTCACAGGTTGAAAGGTGTGAGGGAGCCAAGGTGGGGGTCCCGTGCTGGGGCTGCTTGAGGGATCAGGATGGGGATTCCTCTCCGGAAGTTGTCAAGGTACCTTGGCTTTTGTGTTTGTTAGCGTCCAAATGTAAACATGACAGGAGAGCACAGGATGCATGCTGATGTTGCTGTGTTATTTTTAGGAAACCTGACTCAACGTGGGTGAAGGCAGGAAGAAACAGACCCGTGCTTTTTGCCTAGCTGCATCAGAGTTGCCTATCTGTGTACTTAAGCTTTACTGTAACCAACAAGCAGAAATGATAAGCTGCAAACCTGCAAAGCAACTTCTCTAGAAGAAAGATGCCCTGATTTTGGATGAATATTCCTGCAGTGTAAGAGACTGATTTTTGTGAAAGAAGACTTTACCATCTTTTGTTTTCATCAGAAGGGGCTCCAAGAACAAGCGTTTTGGAACTGAAGCTTATACAGGGGGACAGCCCTTGGGCTTTTATATTGAACATCCCCACGCAAACTGCATTTTCTGTTTTATAACCTCATTAGACACAGTGAGAGAAATTCTTGTGATGGCACTCTTTTCTCAAACCAGCCTGCATGGTTTTCAGGCATTGCTATGGAAATGCCGTATGTTCTGGCCTGTTTCAGGATGTCCGCAACTGTTTGCTGTCTCTTTCAGGATCCCCAGTAGGGAAAAGGTTAACTATTTCAGTTTTATGACATCTTCCAGTGCTGCATTACCAGTGGATCCCAAAGGAACTGATGTCGTTCCTTCCAGGAAAAGGTCTGAAATTGATTATGAAGAACAAAAAGCATGGGATAAGGAGGCTAAAGAAATATCTGAAGGGAAACTTCACTCTTCTTCCTCTGTGGGAGCTCCAAAGAAACAGTTATCACGTCATGCTTTGTTAAGGCATCACCTTACTGCTGTACAGCCTCCAGAAAAACCTTTGCAGGCTGAGGAATGGAACAGACTGAGGGAAAGCTTTCAATCACCTGAAATATTTGAAGAAGTGATGCTTAACAGTATGGTTAAATGCAACAGCCCCATTGATGTGGCCAAGTCCTTGCTGACCCATGTGGCAAAGAGTAATGGTGACATTGCATATATATTGTTGGTCAAGTATCTGGTATTGTGTATCCAGCAGAGGCAGACTTCAGAAATTCTTGATGTGTATGATATAATGAAAAGCAGGTTTAAGATACTTGAAAATGGGGCTTACACCCTTTTTATCAGGGGGCTGAGTAATTCAGATCAGTGGAGGAAGGCCTTGACTATTTTGGAAGAAGTAAAAAAGATGACAATTCCCTCACGAGCACACTATGAGTCCTGTATCAAAGCAGCCAGCCGTCACCAAGAAATGAACCCCGCATTTGAACTTTACCATGAAATGCTGTCTAAGGGTTTGGTCCCAACCTTGGATGTCCTGCAGGCCTTTTTTGACTTCAGCAGGGGTATGAAAGGTGCTGATGTACAAAAAGAGCTGTTTGGCATCCTCTTATATTTGAGAGAGAACCAATTATATCCTCACAAAACATTTATGCGGAGTATAAAGCTGTGGTTTGAAAGGTAAATAATGTTTCAATAGCAAGTTCCACGAGGATGGGTTTCAAATTATTATACAGATCAACTCTCATAGATCCCTCAACATCTCCTTTTGGTTATTGCTTCTCCATGACAGATACATTGTCATGAAGAGATGCTAAATTAGTATAAAAATCTAAAATTCTTACTGATTTCACTTTTTCTTGAAAGATTTTACCTGTTAAGTGTTATTCCTTGGTACAGAAAGTAGGAAACTGTGATGAGTCATGGCTGTCCAAAATATGCAATTCTGTCTCTTTCTGGGGTTGGTACATAAGGGATATTGACACATAAGAGGAGTTTTCCTATAATCTATTGGAGTGTAGAACTAGTAAGTTACTTGAAAATTAGATTGTTTCTTTCTTTAAAGGAAAGAGGCAGCAAATTTAGCTTAGATTAAGTGAAGTTTAAATGTTAACTTTGTATAGAATAATAAAAGAGGAATAATCTTAATAGGAGGTGCTTTGTTTTAGCACAATATTTAGCAGATCGTGCAATTTCTTTTCATAAGTAGCAATGGTCAGACTCCACAAATGACAACTAGTTATGCTATGCATTTTTTTCACTCTTGGCTTTGGTTTATGTGAGCTACACAGCTGTTTTACAAGTTAGTCTTTCTGGATGGGAAATATGCCTGTGGAATGCACTACCATTATTAGAACAGTTTATACTGCTGTCCCCTAGCTATTTTCATTCCTAGGAATAGCCAGCAAGCAGACAGTAGGCCTCAGTCGAGATAAACTGGTTTATTGGGTGACAGTCTGTCATGGGGTGCTCTTTTGCCAGTGGGTAGAGAAGAACTTACCTGCAGGTGTGTGCTACATGTACAGGAAACTCAGTATAATAAAAAGTCCTTGGCAAGGGGACTGCGTGGGCAGTGAGTACATTGAAAGCTATATATTGCCTATATGTAGTGGCAAACCAGTGCTGTAAGCTGAAGTTACAAAGTTAGACAAACCCCTGTTTGTATCTTTAATACTGTGTTTGTCTGTTAGAATAACTAATGGAAGATTGCTATAAGCTCATGTTTTAAGATTGATGTTGGGTGCTTTCCTAAAGGTACTGTTCAAAACACGAAGAAGAAACAAAGTGTGTAATAGAGGGATGAAATAAGGTGATCAGTTATCCCATCTGGATTTTGTCTGTGAACCTGTACAACATGCTCAGTTTTACCTGTCTCTTCCAATTGCTGGTGCTGAACTTGAATATGCTGGTGGTTGAAAATAAAATAAGCATGGAATTCCTTAAAAGAAACAGAATCTGATAACCTCTAGCACTGCTAGTCTTGCAAAACCAATGCAGATTGGGATATAACTTTTGGTGACAAAGGAAACGCATGTACAGTAAGCACAGAAGTGACTTCTGTGAGTGTAACTGAATAGGTGTTAGTTTTAAAAAAATATTCTTCCAAAGAGCATACCAGGAATGACCAGCAGCGAGTAAAGCCAGAGATCTCAATACAGAGATCTGAGTGTGCAACAAAGAATCTCAGTATTTTCTGTTGTCTTTGTAAGAAAACTAAAAAACTGCTATGTATCAGCATGAGAAATGGGAAAGGAGAGCAGAGACAGGATGATTATTCCAAAGCTCGTGGCGTGTGTGATTGTGCAGCCTATGGTAATAAACAGTGGCAAAGGGAGAGGCATCTCCAGTTGCATGTTGGCATGAGTATTCCTGTTTTGTAACCTATTCTGTTTTGGATCTCGTGGGCAAAAAGGAATATTTGCACCAGCATGATGGCGGCTGTGGTAGTGGTGGTGATGTGGAGTCAAAAGGTCTCAAATGCTGCATTTTGGTAGGAGCATCTCTTTCTCAATCTCTCAGGATGACACATGCCTAGAAATCTTGATACCTGCTTTCCCATCTGTTTTTTTGTCTGCTTTATGAACATGTAGGGCAGCAACTTAAAAATGGTCAATGCAGCTAGGTTATTTGTATGGTTTTTAATATTTGGGGACAACATAAACTGGGGAGATTGGTGTTAGTTCTCTACATGTTGTTAAATGTTGGTTCTTTATATAATATTTTCAGGCATCGCTAAATTATATATGAATCTTTGTATGATTTCATTGCAGAGTAGATGATCGATTGGTCTTTTATTTCTAAACGTTGACCAAAATCAAATTATTCTTTATCTATAATTCAGAAATTGTTAAATAAGAATGTAATTATTTTATTTATCTTTCTCTCTGTATATATTAGTATACCAGAAAGCAACTGGAGAGGACACCTAACCAACATTAAAGACAGGTAAATGCAACATTCTATTTAAAAGTGAGATGTTGTCTTGATTATTCTATCTTGAACTCTTTTTTTATAAGTATAAAAAAATATCTTTCCTTATACAAAAATTATTTTACTCCTTGAGAATATGAACCTTCTCTTGTACATAGGATTCCCAGACTCCAGTTTCCAGCTCGTTCTTGTGCATTAAACAAGACCCAGCATGCACATTTGGAAAGGAGTTATGCTAAGCAGAGCTAAGACAGAGAAACACAGACAAAAATAAGAGCTGCCATTTTACTGGGTGGCTTATTTGTTTACTGTTTAGGAATTAAAGACTTTTTTGGTTGGCTTTATAATATCCATTGTTTAACACAATATTCAACAGAGCAGCTTCAGTGTGTAAATGGATGTCTTGAAAACTGATACTATTCACACACTGCAGTTAATTTGTACAGCTGGAAGGGTTCTCCCTTTCCACCTGATTTTCAGTGAAGACAATGATTTCTTTTATGTTAGGTTTTCACAGGGATAACTTGGATATTCATTTCTATTACAGCAGTTTTCTTAATGACTGTAAATTCCTATTTTAAATGTTTATTCTATTTGAAACCTGTGGTTTTGTAGCAATTTGGCAACTATAAATGTATTAATTATGTCTCCAGTGGATTATGATTGTTTATGCTTGTTTATAAAAATATACTGCATTGCATACTCTGAAGTAAAAGCAAATGCAGTCTGCTGCTTTTGAGCATCATAACTTACTGTCCTAAGAGTAGGGGTTGTTATTATTATGTAGAGTGTGTGTGTTACTATACTGTATTATGATAATTCACCATATTTTAGACAACCTTTTTCAGCCTTTAGGCATGTAAGATTCTACCACTGATTCGTGCTTACCAACAGGGAGGGGCTGGTTGGAAATGTGATGCTCCAGGGCTGCCTTGGCTGTAGCGACCATGAGATGATTGAGTTCGAGGTCCTCAGGACAGTGAGAAAGGTGTGCAGCAAGCTCACTGCCCTGAACTTCAAGAGAGCAGACTTTGGCCTCTTCAGGAACCTGCTTAATAAGGTTCCATGGGATATAATCCTAGAGGGCAGGGGGGCCCAAGACTGCTGGCTCATATTCAAGGATCACCTGCTACAGGCTCAGGAGTGTTGCATCCCAACTAGAAGGAAGTGGCAGCAGGAGGGCCAGGAGACCTCCATGGATGGAAAAGGAGCTGCTGAGGAAACTTAGAGGGGAAAAAGAAGCTTATAAAAGGCGGAAGCAAGGCCAGGCAGCCTGGGAAGAATACAGGGATATTG